AGCCTACTTATTGGTACACCCATGTGACTGCAGCAGTCTGAGCGAAGTACCTAACTCAAGGGTGCCAAAGCAATAGTCTCACCTGAAATTTGAACCCACAACCTTCAAATTATGAGGCCACAGCCCTGACCAGTACACCACACTCCTGCCTCATACCATACCTTTCTGTGGTGAACTAGGGGTGCGTGTTTTCATTACACTTTACTACGGTTTGTTCTGCAAAACACAGTATACACAGTAGATTGTTTGTAAGGACAGCCCCGGGCCAGGCTGGGGAGAAAAACTTTCCCACCGACACACGGAGTTGATCTGTGAGTTTTATGAAGCTGAACGGTTTTAAACTGGTAAGATGTTTTGGAATGACTCCTATAATGCCATGCTCTCCCATGATGCCGTTGCAATGTGTTAGAGGCTGGAAAAGTGCACTGTGGGTAGGCTGTCACGCCAATCTCTCTTTACCTGAAACTGAATGCTGCACTTATCCAGTAAATTTACAGGGAATGTGCAGGGTGAGCAGCTGTCGAAGTTCCTCAGATAAGCACACCACACAACAACACTTCACCAGAGGCCTCAAGAGAGAACTCAGCATTGGAACTTGACAAACCCTGACATTTCTCTGTGCAGTGACATTGACATTTTTACTCAGTTTGCTATTTCCAGGATCTTGGCACAAAATACAAGAAAAACACAAATCAATGAAGTGTTGGCTGAAGTTTGTAGAGTTACAATCAATGAAAGCCCCCTAATATATCTACATTGCCTACTGCTTAATAAGCTCGGTACATCTTCCTCATTTACTGGAATACTTGACTATTAGCAAGCACCAGAGGTTTAATTATCTCTCAGACGGCAATGGACCTCACCTGTGAGATAAATAAATTCTAAAACAAAGAAATGTATTGGGATTTTTAGATATGTTTTAGATATGCATTTAATAGCTTACATCTAGCCGCATATATACATATCATTGTTCAGACTTGGTGAGCAACAGTTTTAGTGAATTACAGATTGTGAAAAACTGTATGGGCTGATATGACTGTGGGGTCATAGTTATCTTCCTGTTGAGGTCAGCTGAACTGGGCCTCATCTGCCTTTTACCACTCCCTTGGAGTTTTCCTGGCTGTGTAAATGTCACCTCTGCCATCCTACGTCCTGGGCTTGGCCTCTCTGAGGAGCAGAGAGCATTTTGCTACATGCAAGGCCTGGCGCAGAGCTCAGGGAAAGAACCTGAAAGAGGAGAGAAGGAATGGCAGACACGCGCTCTGAATGTAGTCGAGCGGCTGAGGGCAGGCTCACGAAGGAGGGGAATTAGAACAGCTTCGGGCTGCGTTTCTCTCTCCCTGGCAATCTGCTGCCTCTTGTCCGGAGAGTACAACACCATGGCAGCCCCCCGAGGAAAGGGGAATGAGGTTCAGAAAGGCGCAGGGGGATGCCGCTGGATGGCAGATTACTGAAACTAACTAATGGGAGGAAAGAAAAAAAAATAAAATTCCCCCGAGCGCTTCATTCTCGCTGTGCTGGAGATCTCCCCAGAACCACCAATACCACCAACCGAACACGCCCACCCACCACACAAGTCTTTTCCTTTAAAAACAACACTAATGACAATCAAGCAAGAGGCAAGCCAGGCGGGTAATTAAGTGCTCTCGGACAGTTAATGCCAGGATGTGATGCTCTAAGAGTACTGATGTTGCAAAATGAAAAAAGCAGTTCCTGAGTGCAAATGCCATCTCCAGCCTGACTCGGGCTGTCAGAAGACACTGGTCACAAGGAAGGTAAGGCAAGCACACGCGTTCACAAGCACACGCGTTCACAAGCACACGCGTTCCCTCGGACAACAGAAGGAAAAAATACCCTACACCTCACGTTCAACTTTTTAAATGATGTACAGTACCTTGGACAAGGGCATTTGCTAAACAAACACGGCTGCAAATGACAACAACACTGGAGAAGCCAATTCTAACAGAAACTCCACAGCTATCACAGCTGAAAAATGAAAGTGAACCTTCACACTGACGCAAAGACGTTTAGAATTGTAGTTTATGAGGGAGGAGCTTCCTTTCAAAACAGAAGAAACTCAGGAATTTTTATTTTTCATAACATCCGTTTCTAAAAGCAATACACTATCAGCCTCAGGAAAAAGGGAAACAAAAACTCCTTACAAATAAGCACATCGAATAAAATGGCCTCCTCTCTTCTGTGACCTTTTTAGTTTCTTGTTGCAGTATTCATAGATTCCAAACAGATAGCTGGGGTGCATAGCAGAATTCTGCTACATACAGTATGACATACCCAGCATGCTCCACTGCTACAGTAAGTCAAACCAGTTCCTTTAATCAATGGAACGCAGCTTAATGCAACATACTGCGCTACTTTTTTTTCATTTGGCTGTTTTGTTCATGCATAGAGAAAGAAAAAACAGTTTCACAAACTCACTCTCCACATAGCTTTGACTGGAGATCCCATTCTCTACAACCTGAAAATGTCACAACTTGCATGATGAAGCCATCATTCATGCAGCACGCTGACCATTTCAACTCTTGTTAAAAGACACCCTGGTACCTTCACAAGCCTGTCTGTTTAAACCACATTAATTAAATTGGAATCAGGAGGCTTACATTTATAACAGATTTAGAACTGCTACAATATGAAATGTACTGTATCCTAACTCTGCAACAATATCTTATTGCTCGAAGTCATACCCTCCCAAGACAGACAGTGAGCAGTACACAACCTGACATCCACCCAGGATAAACAGACTAGCTCTTTTCCAGTGGGTCTGCACTCTGTAAAGTCCCTGGTTTCCTGCTTTTAGAGTTTATACTCCCAGTTTGATGAGGTCATATTTCATATTCAACAGCCAGTGCTTCTGGGGAGAAACAAGTAATTGTGCACGTTCATCTTACAGTCATCCTACGTACAGCATCCGAACTCAGTACTGATCATGGAAGATCCCAGGGCAGTGGTCATGAGAGCAGTGGAGGAAACCCCAGTATACTGGCTAAATTCCCTCTGGGGTTGCTCAGTCTAGTTTCCATAACATTCCAGTTAATTCGACTGCTACAGTAATGTCTCACTCCTACACCTGAACAGTGGCCATTCATCACCAGCTAAATCCTATTAAGCAGGGTGTGGCACTCACCACAGTCTCGTCTGAAAACAAAGCAGTCAAGTCTCCTTTCAGATTTGTACATTTTAATTCGATTGCTGCCAATTGTTGTATCCAGATTACTTTAAAAATCCCCCAAGAACCAGCCCAGCGGATTAATGCCACAGACACCTTGGAGAGAAAGAGGTGAAGGCTTCAAAGAGTCAACAGGAAAAAAAAGCCCAGAGGGATCTTAACAGTGGTGTCTCAGGCATGAAGGACTGGCATGAAAATATTTTCACTCAAATCCTTATTCTGGGCACAGGATCAAAACGGTAAAAATAAAGACTATTGAGAAACAGAACAGGCAGAACAGCAGCTGCTCCCTGACCTGTCCGTCACCCTGTACTGTGTATGAGCTGAATGAAGTAGAATCATTTGATTTCCCTTCCGTACCAACTCAACTGCGACTGACATCGGTCAACTTCTTCTTGTTGTTGTTTTATTTAGAGAAGACCTACGCAGCACCGGTTTGGCTTTGATATTGCAGAATTCAACCAGGCCTTAGAGCACAAAGACTAAATTGATTGCTCTCTTACACAAGGTTAAGAAAATAAAAAAAAAACAAAAATTCCGTTAACCGGTTTTTTGTATTTAACAAGAATACCAGCTCGGGCTCCTGTAAAACGGCGCTGAGAGGAGGGCTCCCTCTGCTGAGCGCGGGCAGAACTACATGGCACTATTTCTAGCTGTTCAACGCCCGTCTTGCCCAGACTAGAGCCAGCTCTTAAAGAGGGTGCATGATGGCTGTACCTGATGTGCGGTGTTTTATCTGTGTATTGTGCTCGACATAGGAGGTGACTCAGCACCTGCGGTATCTCCAGTTGACTGGGAGCGAACCGGACCGGACCGGAGTGCGGATGCACCAGATCAATCTGGGCTGTCTGTCCATCGCAGAAAAGTGTCAGCATTGACAGAATTCAGAAGAACTTGGTAAACATCACACCCTGCTCCTCCGTAGAAAGAAAGGCAACACGATAAAGGTTCGAATTAATTTCTTAACTATACAGTAGTTTTGACCTAGCTGTATTTTAACCACAGTTCCAGACGAAATTAGTTTGAAAGCTAACTCGGTGTCTATTGTTAATGCGCTACTGCAGCTAAAATGAAACGTTAGATTTTTTTTTAACCAGCTTCTGACTGTGAGTGGTAATAAGATCGTTTTTCACTTTTTAAATCAGTGTGCACCTCCCCCCCTTAAAAGACGACAAATTATAGGGAATAACTGTGGAATTAACCTAAAAACCTAAAAAACGTTAACGAGGAATTCCCATAAAAGTAGTCTAAATAGCAAGAAATAATCCTGGGGTGATGTTCCCAGTGGAGAAGTTAAACACAATTGCTGAAGCTGAATGGGGAAGGCTGCTCTAACGCTGAAGCAGCCCTCAAGACAGCCCAGGGGCTGAATCAGCGCAGCGCATCTGTAGGCTGGAATCTTCTGTCCCGTCAGACAGACGTTTTCCTCTGCTGCTTCCAAAAAGCGAAATAAAAACACCGCTGACTGCGGCTTTGTGTCGCACAAAACTAAGTCAACAAACAGTGCAAAATCCGCATCTGACGAGGGAGTACACCCGATTACTTCGTCGTGTTATTAAACCCCCCCGCCTGCGAGAAAACACCGCAGCACATCGTTAACAAACTGGAAAACCTTACAGACTGAAGCGGCAGGCTGATTTTAAGGCGCTGTTTTGCCGACGCTGAAAGGACCGGCCGGCTCGCCGGCGGTAACAGCTCAAGGCATGCTATCGCGCAGTAGCAGAACTGATCGGGCTCAAGTGTCTTCAGAGCAGCGCAGAAAGCAAGGGTTCCCGTGAAGAAACAGTAACAAGGAGAAAGCCTCATTCATCCCTACCTTGCGCGGATGACCAGGCTCCCTGTGTGGGTATAAGACCGTTGTGACTGCAGTCTCCTTCAGTGGCATCAATGTGCTCTACAAACCATGCTACTGCCAGATGCCCTTGGAGAGAATGAACGTCCGTGCGCGGTTCTCCGGGGCACAAACTACCAGTTCAGCAGGGTTAGAGTGCTTATACTCTGGGCGAGCGGATTTAAACGTGCAGGGAGGGGAGGGGCGGGGAGTGGGGGGGGGTTTATTGCGGGAATTACGTGGTGCCGTTTTGAGCGGCCGGCGCCTTTTTAATGCTCAGGATCTCAGTGCAAGCGAGCACCCGCTGCAGGTCTCGTCTCCTCTGTGCGAAGCATCTCGACCCCGCAGAGCATCTTCTGCTCCACGGCAATATCCCATACAGATCACGAACCGCTGTACGAGCCGTGCTTTCTGTGTCACAGCTCACTAAACTAGGCGAACTGGGAGAAAATGCAGATTTAACAATATAACGTTATCCCCCTGTTATGATTATTATAATCATTATTATTAACAAGATTTATTTTTCTAAGTCGGCTGATACCAAACTTTTAGCTGCTTTTACTGCTGGTTTTTTTTTGTGTTTGTTTTTGCTTCTGTCGGTGCCTTGCTTGCCTGAACAACTGTGGAGAACTGAAATAAAAAAATTTAAAAGTCTAAAAAGAAGTTGCTCTTTTTTTCCTGCGTTTTGTTTTTCATTTTGGAACGATGGAACCACTGTTGTTTTTTCTTCAGTAATTGAAGATTTCAACAGGCTACTCATACTCTGTCTTCTCTCCAACATTTTTAGTCATTTAGTGGCCCCGAAATCTGTCTTTTTCCCTCACTGGGAACCATTTCAACATTTAGAGCCCCATTGCAGTGGTGGCAGTTCAATCGTCAAGTCTAAAGCCTTAGATGTATCGAACTGTGACCAATTAAGCAGATGATGTGTTAAATTAAGCAATTTAGAGACAACGTGGGGCTAAAATCGGAGTACTCTAGGTTTGAATGCCCTTCTGCGCCCGAGGCACTTACTGGAACAATCTGCCTGCTTAACTGGCTCGACAATTTAGAGATTTCCCCGAACTTTAGGACGAGGCGACCTATAAAACTAATTAGTTTGGGGCGCTCCAGGACCGAGACCTCCATCAGTTGTAATGCCGGCAGGATGAACTGTCCCCGAGGAGGCCGACGGTTTGTTCCACGATGACTGCAATTAATTGGTGCTTTACAAGCCATCACAATCCACTCTTTCCGGTATTGCTGGCGGAGGTGTACGCGTCTCTCCTTGAACTCTCACATCTGCAACATACACCACAAAGGCAGACACTGCGGAAATGTCGGAATATCTAGGTCTCCGCAGAATTCTGTGTCCCATTTCTGTATAGTGCCATGTTCCATTAAACACGCCGCAATATATTTAGAATTAAAAGTTGCGTCTACCGTCTTTAAGATTTTGAGACCCTCTACTAGATCTGCAGCCTGTGATGTGCATTAATATGGGCACGGGGGGTACCCGTGTATGAATCCCTGCAACACGACCGTGACTGTCGTATGTACGAAGCATGAAGGTTCAAGCATAATGACAGTGGGACCAAAGATAAAGATTTTAACACATCACATTCACATCGCCAGCGTACATCAGATCAAATCTGATTTGAGTTCTGTCTTCATTTTATCGAAGCTAAGATTATATTTAGGGTAGATACCGCATTGTTTTTTGATAAAATACGATGCTTTCATTTTTTCCGAATTTCTGAAAGTAACTACAGGTATCTGAATGGTCTAATAAGAGAAAAGGTTTTCTTGCTTTACTCTTCACCTTAGAATTCCAGGGTGACGCAAATTTACCTTTTTCATAACACGTTCATTTTTTACAAGAAGGTGCTGCGTAATTACTGTATTTTGGTGGTTTAAAACAGTTTTTCTCTTTTCTTAGCATATGCACAATTCTACGGAATTCATGCGAAATGTCCGATGCTTGCAGAATTTTTCTGCATCTACCTGTGGCGCACTTAGCCCGAGACGTCTCCTTCATTTCCCGAGACCTGACGGCCCCACCCCTCGTTTGTGGCTCAGCTTGCCGGTAGGACTTCCACGCGTTCATCTGCAGATTTCATTCAGAAAGCGGCGGCAATTCGAATTTTTTAAAACTGCGCGAAATGTGAGACAAGAGGCCGCCAGTTTTTGAGAATCTGCAAAACATACCGCCCCCCGAGCCGTTTACAACCCGCGGAAGGATTGTATATCGCCCGTGTAATGGAGTCCGATGAAATCTCGATAAAAGCATAATAATATGTTTTTATATGTAGTGCGCCCCTGCACTTCAGCAACGGGCAGTTTGGGATCGTTCAGGGGGAAAAACGCTACACAAACGAAGAGAGGTATACAAGCATTGTTTTGATTGGTTGCTGTAAGTAGAGTTTTTCTAGAGTAGAGGGTTTCTACTCCCCAATTGGGTAAGCACTCCCACCCCTGCTGCAATTCAAACCCAAAACTAAATGTTAAAAAAAAACTTCTCTCGCGAATCTGGTAGCACGCATTTACAATTCGCCGGGTCTAGGCTAGGCCAAGGTAAAATGTTTTTTTTTTTATATATACAGGTGTCTGTAGAACAGCCGTCGTCGGAGCTTCTCCGGCTCAATTCCCTTGCTGTCACCGGGAGAAAAGGCCGACCGCACCTGCAGCCCGCGGTCCTGTCACCTCGTGGCCCTGTAAATGGATTCGGCAGAATATGTCTGGAGGTCTCAGTCCTGATGTTGATCTTCTAACAAGGTGGCCCGCTGGAGCAGGGGCAGAGATGTCGGACTGAAAGTGTGGACAGGGGACAGGGGACAGGGACCCCGGGGATCTGGCTGGCTTTGTTGTCAGCTGCTTGTTAGCTCCAGTTTCTTCTGATCTCGGCCCTTTCTCCTCGAGAGAGCGACCGAGAAATGAGATCGCATCATGTAGTAAAAGGACTCAGTTCACCTTTAAGGTCCTTATTGGGTGTAAAGGCAAGACGCATCTTGTATCTAGATATGCAAATATTATTTCCGAAGAAATGTTATTGCATTAACACTGAAACATGAATGCAGACGAAATTATCATTCGTTTGACATTTGTCTTGAAGACCAAAAGTGTTTCTGAATACTCCCGTTGTCTATAGCAGGCATTAATTGACCAGAATAGACATTTCATTACAGTTGGTGATCACACCATTCCTCCCTTCTTAGCCGTGCCCATTGGGCTTAAATCAAGTACTGTGCAAGCCACCCACAGTCAGAGGTCTAGAGCAGGGATTCTCCATACTCTGGTTTTAGCGGAGACGTGAGGGGGTACTCGGAAGAACACTGTTATCAGTGAATACCCGAGTTTAAAAAAAATCACAAAACTGAACCAACTGCTCTGCGGGTGACTTACGACGCACCCCCGGTTCAATTTTAAACAGCCAACATCGGGGGGAATAAACCTCAGAACAGTTTCTTATTTTTAATTCGTGTTTCCCTCGGTGTCGCCGGAGGCCGGGGAGCTACAGTGGAAGATTCACCTCTAGTTCCGTTGCATTGAGTTTGGATTGCAACCGAGACCGAGTCTCCGAGTTTCCTCCATGTGCAAAAGGCGATTTCATTCAACCACAGCCGCCTGCCCAGCAGCGCTAAGGCACAGAATTTCTTCGGTCGACGTCTGGCGCTTGCATACAGCGGTAAATAACCTCCGGGCTGGTGATCTGTTCTTCCTGTTCTGAGATAGGCCCGTGTTTTCATTCTTCGTATCCCGGGGTAATACAGTACGTTCATGCTGGTAAAATGATAGTACTGCACTTGTAAAACCACACGTTAAAAGGTTTTTATAAATGGATGATGATAAGATCTATCCGAGGGAGACAGATAAAGAAAAATCAGGGACTGGCCATGTTTTTTTTCCACCGATATGTGAAACATTTACGAGCTTGCCTTAACGTTTATTTTCAGATTCAAAAGCTACAGTACATGCTTTGGTGAAATATATGTATTTTATTTATTTGCTTGTGAGTCATACAGTTAATTTGTTTGGCCACTGCAGATTTTCAATATTCTGCTCCACTGCCTCTCAGATATGGCTATTAGTGTTATCATGTTTTTGTGCACAAGGGGTTATTGGAGTGAAATTCTAAACCAGCAGGCAATGTTAAAACTGAAAAGGCTGTAACGCCTGTGTGCATAACGCTAATACCCCACCCCCACTCACACAGACGTGACTTTTTGATAAAATCCTGCATTAAGAAGGCTTAGTATTAAATGTGCAAGTTTCTCCTATATGGCTCATTTTACCACTGATACAGGAAGAGGATTTATCCTGTTGTTGGAAAGGTCAGATAAAAAGCAGAAAGGAATCACACCTGGCTTGCTCAGGCCTTTAACGGTATTCACACCAGTTAATGCAAATAAATCTGGCTCTGGGTTTTCCAGAGAGGTCCCACAAGTCCCAGTGCTTTTGATATTCAACCGATGTGAAGACATCCGTCTTTAACGAAAGGCAACAAATGTTTTGATTACTTGCCAGCCCTCGCACATTCATGCCTTTGTTTATGTTTCTTAGGCTCTAAAGCCTCTCCTGTTTACACTATATTAATTTTTTTTAAATCCATGCTGTATGCAATGACATGATTTCATGGTGAATTAGTGAGGAAAATATGCACCAGGGCTGTTTATGACTAATTCTTGGTTATCTGTGTGTTGAGCGTGAAACGCTCACACTTGCAGTGACAGTAATTTAAAGCATGCGAATCCTCCTATTTCCTGCTCCTCGCTTGGTGAGTTCTGGAGTAGGGGAATTATTGTCGGCTTCACCCTGACTCTGCAGTGAGCGCCATTGCCTTGCAGGCCGCTGCTCTTCCGGGGCCGCTCCTTGTTTAAGGAATCCTCGTGGAACGATGGAATGTTGGCTGGATTCCTGTGGTGTGGAAGCTTGTGTGTCCAAAATAATGATTACTATTATCCATTTTCTTGTCCGACACTCTCACTCAGATTTGACGTACACGTGTTTGCAGTCATGCGGCCGGGTGATTTATGTGAGCCACATTGATCGAGGGTGCAACGGCACTCCCCCAGTTGGGATTTTATCCCACAACCGTCCAGTTTAAAGTAAGTCCAGGGAACCACCACTGTTTCACTTGGTTAACTAGAAGTTCTGACTGCTTGATGACAGGTTGAACTAATCCTTACACGGCTGATGTCACCTGTGTGCAGTTAAGGGATT